TTATGTGTTACACATTGCTCTATAAAAAATACTTTATGAATAAAGTTTGATTGACTGAATAATTGGTATTCCTTCCATAGCATATCTTCATATGTGGCACTATACAGTGGTTAGTATGGAGGGTGGAATGTGACAAAATAAATTTTATTATTATTATTACATCATTAAATATACCATATTAAATGTATTTTAAAAATATTGAAAATTACATTTCATTATTTAATGTCATTATTTAAAAGCTACATTTAATTATTTCATGGGACATTTAATTAATTGTATATTTAATAATTTAATTTTATATTTAATGATTTAATGATGTATTGACTACATTAAATGATACATTGAATTATTATGTTATTTAATGATTATTATACATTTAATTATTATAGATATATTATTATCTGTTTCATGTTTCATTCGTGCTCATCTGCACACACAGACTCATGTTCTTGCTGATGCTCATTGTAATGTTTTTATTATTTTTATGCTATTAGTGCTTAGTGTATATTTAGTTGATGTTTTTCTTAGTTCATATCTTAGATCTTATTACTGTTTTTCTTTTACATTTTATTGTTGGAAGGTAACTGGGACCCTGTGAACATAATTTTGTTCCACCACATGTACCACATGTGATGGAACGACAATAAAGAAACTCTGACTCTGATTTATTTCATTTTGTCACATTCCACCCTCCATACTTAAGAACTTGAAGAAAATAATTTCATTAATGAGAAAACACCAGATGTTTAAATTTTAATAAATGTGTATCATCGAATGGTAAAATCACGTATCAAATTAATTTAAAAAAAAAGTAAATAAAGACCCAGAATTCCTTAAAGGAATGCATATCACCAGCCTTCTTTCATGCCAAAGTTTAAAATTAAAAATGTCTTGTGGTAAGAAAGAACAGCGTCAAAGGTGTTTTGTTTAAATGTAAATACATGTAAATAATTATGCGTGATCTCATGTGATACGGAGAGATTTCAAACGATATGTTAGCACTGATTACTAGATGTTTGGATGAGTCCATTCGGCTACCACCACACTAAATGTTAGCTTGGTATCTGTAAAACTGACTGGGTTACAGCCATTTTTGTTCACGCTAATGTTAATTAGCTGTGGCGGCCATCTTCAGTTTGATCAACTCCAAAAGTCAAATAGCTGTAGATGTACACCCAGTGATTACTCTCTTTGAGCTTCATTCAAATGTGGTTCAGGAGATATTTTGCTAACACAATAAAAAAAAGGCACACATACATGAGCGCAAACCTTATTGACCTTTGACCTTTAAACAAAGCCACAAAGAGATTTGTCCATCTTTGATTCTTGTGTCTTTAGCCTGTCAGATACAGCGAGTAGCATTAGCATTAAATACAACAGTGTGCAAGTGAGTCCGGCATCAGCGGGGGCCACACACCGAGGCCCCACAGACCTCGGGCTGTTTTCTTGGCCTCTGTGGCCCCAGGGGAGACCTCCAATTGCCCCGTTATGAGCCTTTGAAAATATACATCCCCCAATTTTATAGACACGGAAACAATTTGTGGCCATTATGGAGCATTATAGATAGCATCTACAAAACTTCCTGTTGTTGACTAAACGTCTGCCAGAACGGACACACACACACACACACACACACACACACACACACACACACACACTAAAGAGTTTGTTGTGAAAAAGAGAAAACAAAGATGCAAAGGATTTTGTTTATTGATTCGGAGTTAGCTGTTTTAACTGCACTTAGAGAGATTAGGCTATAAATAGAGGCAAAATAAAACATAAAGGCAGCCTGTGTGTTTAGTGGACCACCCAGAATCCTGCTGGATGGAGGGGCTGGACCTGGACCGTCCAGAACCCTGGCTCTGGATACAGATCATCAACCTGCTTCAGTCAAACTCAAACCAGACGAGCTTAAACGATGCTACACGGATCAGTTTTATAAAATCACATGAGCTTCTGTTGAACCTCTGTTGAATTCATTACAACAATGTTTTTGCATGTGTTTGTGTGTCTGTCTGACTGTTAGCAAAATATCACATGAATAGCTGGACAGATTTTGATGAAACTCCCAGAATGCAATCATTGGATGTCCATCTACAACTCTTTACCTTTTGGAGTCAACCCAATATAATATGGCTGCCACAGCCAACTGACTTAATGACACACATAAATGCTATAATCCAGTTAATTTAGCAGATGGTGTACTAAGGTTTGGTATGGTAGTAGCTGAGAGTCACCTTTAACACAAAGTCTGAGTGCTAATACATTTCATTATATCTTGCAGTACAACATGAGTTTGAATACAATGTTATTTTTAAGATATGATCTAAAGCGGTAATAGTTCATGAGGTGTGGGTGTTTTTAAAACAACAAAAGGAGTATACACATATACACTATACAGTATAAATGAAAGATGTGTTTAAAAGCCACTGTGAGAAACATGACTGGTCAATAAAAAGTATTTAAAGTCAACATGTTCCTGCTCCGTCATTTGTTTTTTTGAAGATATGAGGCTAAAAAAAATCAAACAAGTTTTGATGTACAGTTCAAATAAAGTCTAGTTTGAGACTATCTTGTAATTATTTTAAAGATACTCATTATTATGAAACCAGACGTAAAAAAGATAACCATGAACTTTATCAGATGGTTCAGTTGAAAGAGTTCACTCCAGTGGTTTGCCAGGTATACTACAGTACATTTTGCCATACACGTCGCACCACAATATAAGTCACATCAGTCCAAATATGTCTAATAAAGTAGAAAAACATAAATAGGTCGCTTCGCCGTATAAGTTACATCAGTCCAAAAATGTCTAATAAAGTGGAAAAATATAAATAAGTCGCTTCGCCGTATAAGTTATATCAGTCCAAATATGTCTAATAAAGTGGAAAAACATAAATAAGTCGCTTCGCCGTATTAGTTACATCAGTCCAAATATGTCTAATAAAGTGGAAAAAACATAAATAAGTCGCTTCGCCGTATAAGTTACATCGGTTCAAA